CGGCATTCTCTGTATAAGACCCTCTCCAAAATGGTTGTACGCAATGGTCACTTGCATCATCTTGTCTCTTGTATAGGAATCGCTGTGCCCCAACAACATCACCTGCATATTCCCATCAATGGAATTTTTCTTAATTCTTGTTTGCATAATGCTTATAGAAAATTTTCAGCTTCAAAGCTTTGTGCTTTTTGCAAAATCCAAGTCTAACCTAATCAGAGAAACTATCCCAAATCGACGAACAAGATAGCAACTTTAGCAAAACCCTAATCAATCGAACATTTCAGTTCAGCAACTGGGTAATTAGGCTACTGACTTTACCACAAGGTGCACATAAATTCTGCTCATTTAGCTCAATCATCCGTGAACTTCTGCATTTCTACGAGAACCCTCTCGAAATTCAACTGATCATGTAATTTTTTGCAACCAATTCAGTCAAGTTTTGCTAATTTGGTGAAACATAACAGTAGAATCACCGAAGAGACTAACCTCATTATGGTGAGTGAAGTAATTATTGGAGATCGTAATCGCCGTTGAACCCATGATCGCATCAATCAACCCATCAGCGCAATTAGACATAGAATTGTGATCGATCCAAATATGACTCGACCCAAAAATCGAGATCCCGTCACCATCCGCGATAGTTCGCCAACCATAGTGCCTCGGCGAGCTCCGAACCATAGCATTCCCCGTCCGCTTACAATCGTGGATATTAACTCCGTGGATGATGACGTTCGTCACGAACTGGATCGTGATGCAGGCGCCATAAGCGATGTGAACATTCACTCCTCGACCATCGATCGTCTTGAAGCTGTTCATGATGAGCTCCTGCTTCAGGGTAATGACCATGTCGCGCTTGAAGACGATCCAGAGAGGCCGATCCTGGACCACGGCGTGACGGAGAGTCCCGGGACGCGGGTTCACCGGGTCGTGGTCCGACGGGTCAGTGACCACGTAGTAACGGCCATCGCGTCCACCGACGGCGTTACGGCCGAATCCGATGGCGCAGTTCGCGAGGCGTTTTCGCCGGAGATGCCAACTCCGGTCACATCGCCAACAGTCATCGATGGTGTTGCCGGTGGTACAGGAGAAAAACCCTAATTTCCTCCTCTCCGTACTGTTTCGTATGCTCCTGTGTAACGGTTATTCCCAAAAATTAGTAAAATTTTAGAAAATTATTATACCGAATTCTCCATTAATTAAAATATAGGCACATAAATCTAAAAATTATAGATTAACCCTTAAATTTTATGAAGGATACAAAGACACCCAATGGGGTTATTATTGTTCCCTTATTGTTTTACAAGAATCACATGACGAGGCAAGAAAGGAAATTGAAACTGACATTGGAGGTGGACCACGTGGTCATAAATGTGACAAATATGGAATTATATATTTCATGTGATACGGTCCATACGGAAACTTTCGTATCATTCTATTTCTCATGAACCATCTTCAATATATTTTATTGGTAACGCTCGAAATAAATGCTAAATCTGTTGGCCGTATTCAGATTTCGGATATAATATATATATATATATATATATATATATATTATAATACATTATAAGTGGACGTCGGTGGATCTTGAGAAATTATTGGCAAAGAGAGAGAAGCAATAAATGGGAATCATGGTGACTCCGTCCTGTTCTTTTGTTAAAAGTGGAACCTTCCGAACAAAACAGAGGATTCTCTATGTTACGCAGCAATACAATTTTAATAATCAGATCTTATCTGTTTGATATATATATTATCTGGTTCCTGTCGAGTTGTTTTGTTTAGGAAGATGGTAAGAGATTTATGTCGTGTTTCTTTATAATATATATATATATATATATATATCATGTATTTGTTGAATTTGGCGATATTTGTAATAAAAAATTATAAAATGATGCTAATTTTCTATCTGAAGCGTTTTTAATACGAAAGCGGGGCAATAAAAAAATTATCCGATTCAATTTGTAATTATACGGAAATTAATTTTCTTGCATTTAATCTATATAATCACACGTGTATATATATATATATATAAACTTACATATCGACCATGGATGCTATTTCTTCAGGGTTTTTAACGGCGTGTTCATGCCATGCGTCTTCCGATAACCTGAAATAACAGATCAAAACAAAACATCTGAGATTCAGTATATCTTCTTACTATATATATATATATATATAAACTCACGTATCCGCCATTGATGAGTTTCTGGAGCTCTGCGACTTCATGAATTCAGCTGTTTCTCGAACACTACAAAAGCAGAGACAAAACGTTCATGAATCATGATGATACGCACGTACGTACTTCTTCGGATCTTCCTATCGATTGGAGCTTGAGAATCTCTGTAATTACTGCAGAAATCATCTCAAGATCCTCTAATCGTGTTATAATCTGAACTTACGAGGACGCATTTACGCAGAGAAAGAGCGTTGAAATGAGCAGAGAAGCCGCAGAGGTGTAGAACATTATTATGGAACCCGCCATTGATGCTCTGTTGAAGCTTTCTCTCTCCTCTGTGTGATAAGGAAGAAGAAGTAGAGAGAGAGAGAGATATGGGTCTTGGAGGAGAAGCAAAGAGAAGAATCTCGGCTATATATAGGCGAAGGGGAACGTGGGAAGGAGCAGAACCAGCAGACTAACTCCGTGAAATATACAGCGTACGCCGTTATAGTTCCGTTAACTATTATTGAGTGATAGTTAACGGCGTCTTTTTCCATCCGTCTTCCGAATGTTTCTCTCCCTCCGTACACCAAAAGAACATTTTTCTCCCGTTTAGTTCGCAAATAAAATATTAATCTCGATTAATAATCAGTTTAATTAAAATAATCGAGCTCAGATGATTGTAAAGTTTATAGAAGTGATATTATAAAATAAAAAAATAAAATATTGAGTTTTTTGGTGGATTTGAGATGTTGATTTCGGTAATTATGGAATTGAAATACTATTAATATATATAACTAACCATGCACTACTAAAATGTCAATATTTTCAAATATAAAAATGTATACACTCCATTTTCTTATAGAGAGTGAATATTATATTTAAATAATAATTCTTTTACAATCAGAATTTGTGGACCGCTAGTTTAATCATTGGACTCACTACATTCATCATACGTATAAGATTCTAGCCATATTTTCGATTCTCATACTTTGATATTTTCTTGTATAAAGCTAATAATATAACATGCCTAGCATATATATCTATGTTATTCCAAGAAATAAAATTAGATCAAGATAAAAACTTTGGTGTATATTACAATGATGATGTATAGGTAATAAAATAGATAATTCGTAATTCCATGCATGCAGATGCTGGTAAACAAATACGTCATGATTCCAAATTATAAATATAACTCTTTTCAATATTTCCTACTAATTAAGAAATAAATAAACAAAATATTCAGAAGGGTTAAAGTTTTATTTTGTTGATTTAAATAACGAAAATATATATGATTTTCTTGTGGTTTTTCATGTCTCTAGTTCTTTGATTATTTAATAAATTGATAATATCTAAAACCTGCTAATTTATACAACGTTGGTTTCGGATGCTCCTGGTTGCATGGAGACCACTAAGTTTCATGCACACACATATATATTAATATATAAATATATAAATATATATTCCTTTTATCCGTTGACATAAAAAATGATTCGGCTTAATCCAAGTTTTCAGCAATGGTTACGAATAATTCCGTGCATGATTAAATGTTTTGGTTGACTTGTCAGTTGTCATGTATAATGTAAATGTACATAAATATATATATATATATATATATTATAATTGATGAGAATGTAAATTTGACGGTGTTCTTCTGTTAACGAAAAATGAAAAAAAAAAAAACAATTACCGACAAAAAAACTAAAATAGAAAAAGAGCATTTTGGAATGAAAATTGATCAAATTTTATAAGATGGTTTAATAACGGTTTAATCCTTTGTGATTTTTAATATCTATAGGATTCAAACTCGGATTTCTATATAAATTAAAATTCAGTCTTAATGTAAGATGACGACAAAGAATAGCATATACTATACTTGGGCGAGCTTATAATCACTACGAACCAAAAATGTGTTTCCTAAGGTTTTCTATTATATCATTTCCTTAAATTAAATGTTATTGAATATATATATATATATATATATATATATATGTATAGGTACGTGGGTATATTGGTACTGTTATAGATAATTCATGCACATTTTACCTTCAAGATGATTTTTTTTAAATCGGGGAATCACCTAATAAAATTTGAAATTTTAGGCGTAAACGGCATAAATAAATGTCAATACGCTTTCGGATCAATTTCAATTTCAATTTTAATTTCAATTTCCCACATTTTGATAGTTACAAGTGGGTTTGCGTTCGTACTTCTCTGACATTGAGTCTTGGCTTGTTATAGATTTTAACAAATAGCAAGTTCATAAATGAGCTTTTTTTTTGTATTTTCACTAAAAATTTCTGTATATATATATATATATATATATGTAGGTTTAGAATTTTTTTTTCAAATTTTATGGAAATATAAAAAAAATCATATGTATCCTTATTAAATCGTGTTTTCATTAATATTCAGTTTTTTTTTATTAAGGATAAAATTGAAAATTTTCTTAAAAAATACTTAAAAAAAACTAAAATGGTATCTATTAAATTTCACAAAAAAAAAAATTGAAAATTTTCATCGAATACGAAACGGTGAAAAGGTTTGGATATTACAATTTATTTAAAATTTTCAAATTAAAATATAATATATAATAATTTGAGAATTAGTCTTAAGTTCAGCATAATCATTTCCCAATTAAGCTAGTTTCAATACTGAAAACACGTGTATTTGTAGAATTTAAGCGTAGAATTAGATAATAATTTATTAGTGGATGTTAAAAATGGCGATATGTTTATTGTACGGTCCATTATCAAATATGTCTTAACATATTGACTAATATTTAACAATCAAATCATTTTTTTACTTGAATAAGATCATCTAAGTCGCCATTTAGTCTATATCCATCTTCTTAATGTGTTATGAGTCCCAATCATGGAATATGAAAATGACAAATGGTAAGTCCATTGAATTTAATTTATTCATTTTGTGTAAGAAAGTCAAAATCATTTTTAATAATAATTACAATGGTGGTTGTAAATGCAACTGAGTGCTCAAAGAGTTTAGTGGCAACCTAACACAACTTCACAAGCTTCGGTCGCCAAACACCTCACAATCTTTCAATATACGAACAAAATTTGATGATATTGTTTTTAAAATCAAATTAATTTAAACCGAAAACCAAGTATAAAAATAATCATAAGACTAAAACCGAATATATATATATATATTTTATAAAAATTTAAAAAATACAGATTCGAAAATAACCTAATCGAAACCAAAATCTCAATCTTTAATCAATTCCAAAACATAATTGAGAGTTGAAATTCAAATTTAGAGTTAACAATTAGATTTACTATTATACATTTATCATTTTAAAAATAATATATAAAATCTTAGTAATTTTTGAACGACTGTTATTGATAATTGCATTCTATGTATGAAATCTCAAACTTTTTTGTATTAGTTATAATTTCAACCCCTGCGATTGTGTCTAGATTAAACCTCCATGGCCAAAGTTATGGGATTTGATTAAGCAATGGTTGGCATTGGTTTAGTTAAGTTAAATTGATAATTAACTAAAGTTGAGTTTCTTAATTCTATAAATTCATATTTTAAACCCGATTAATTATTTTAACTTTTCTAAGTCACAAAATTCATTAAACCCATCTCCCTAGACTTCACATATTCGGTTACTAATAGGAAATATGATTAGATTGTAAAGAAAATTGACAAGCATATACCATGATTTTGAATGATGATTTTTTTTTCACATTTAATTTAATAATTAAATAATAATTTAATTGGGCTCTACTGGTTCTACCTTGCAACTAACTAGTGGTCTATGTCCAACAAGGCCCAACAGGGCTACAGATCACATTACTATATTGCATAGCCATAATATAGGGCCTATTATTCGGCCCATTAAAATGCGAGTAGGAAACGTCGTCGTTTAATCGTTCTTTTAAATAAAAAAAATCTGAAATTTGTAGAATTTAAATAAAAATAAGGAAAGATACTAACCGGTAACGGTAAGGTTCGATGGCGCTTAATTCTCGGAAATGTCGCTCTCTCCCGCGAGTCTAATCATCCTCGCTCTCTCCTCCTTTTCTTCCACCGTCTTCTCCTCTCCTCATCTCTCTCTCTCCCTCTCTCTCTCTCTCTCTGTTCAGATTCTCCGATGTCGTCTATGATCTTCGGATTCACCGATCGGTGAAGTTCCCGAGCTGAATTCCTGCGTTTCCGATTGAATATTCTCAAGGTACGATCTCCCACTAGGTTTCGTCTTCTTCACGATTTGAATATATGACTCCGATGATTTCTGGTTTTGATCAGCAGATGTCGCATGTTTTTAGGGCTTTTTAGTACGCTGAATGTCGGCGGGATTTCGAATTTCGAGACGTTAGGTTGGCACTCGGAGGTACAATTTTGTGTGTGATTTCCATGGTGTAATTTTGGTTTCTCTTTCTTCCTTTTTTTCCCATTTTTATTCTGTAGTTTTTCCGAGTTTCATGCATTCATTGGTTCCCGCATGAGAAGCTGTGGGAATTGTCGTGGTGGATTCTGATGGAGCTGATGTTTTTTTTTTCTTCTTATTGATTCAAGTTTTCACATGAGGAATAAGAGCAATAGACCCATATCGTTTCTTCGATGTGTTTTCCTTCTGTGACCATTTCCTTTCCTATGTTTCGTATATTTCAGAATAGGTTGTGGGAAGATCAGATAAGCAGCTTCCGAAACATTGCCTGCCGCCATTGTTGCATCTTCTGAATTTTGATTCCTTTTTTGGATACATTTCGAAGAATAGGTCCCAATTTTTTCTTACAGAAACATTCTTTTCGTGGCTTATTTATACAGAGAAGAGAACAGTGACTAAGAAAAGGTTCCTTATTCTTCCTCTGACCATAGTTTACCTGTTTCTGGTGTCATAGTGAAGTCACAGAATTCTGGAAATTATATTTGCAGATCACTTAGACAAGTTTGATGCGGTGTACCCTTGTGAGGAGAATAACCAGATTTCTGAACCATTTGGGAAGACAAAAGCATGGTTATGTTGGTCGGTCATTGTTCAAAAGCTGATCCTTTGAAGGAGTTGAATAGATGACGGATAGATGAAGTAAAACAATGGCGGCTCAAGGACTGAACACACGACATCGTAACTTGGCCGATAACCTTGTTAGAGATATTTCAGCTTTGTCTGGTCAGTTGGCTTGGCAAAATTCCGAACCTATCCCAAGCAATGGAAGAAATGCGAATAGAAATGTTTCGCTTCGGACTGGCGAAGAATTTTCTATGGAGTTTCTGAAAGATCATACCCGCGCCGAACCTCCTAGATTTCCTGGGCTGAGGAGGATGGAATCAGAATGTGCTTCTGATGCTAATGATTCAGGACATGGTACAAGGATTCTTAACCAGTTTGAAAATGGCGGCTGTGTTGAAAAATTCAATGGATACAACAATGTAGGTGTCGTAACCAGGAAGGCGTTTGGTGAACTGAATTCCAACCAAGGAGGTGTCGTCCAGACGACAGCAGCTCCTTCTGTTCATTTACCAGATCATGCTCAGTCCAACAACTGCAATGGAGCAGTGGTTCCTGAAAGAGCCGCGAAAGTGAAACTCCTTTGCAGCTTTCGCGGAAAAATACTGCCCCGATCCACTGATGGAAAACTCAAATATGTCGGGGGAGAAACCCATATCATCTCGATTCACAAGAATCTTTCATGGGAAGAACTCAAGAGAAAGACTTCTGCTATATGCCCACAAGCACATTCGATTAAGTATCAGCTTCCAGGGGACGATCTCGACTCCCTAATATCAGTTACTTCCGACGAGGATCTTCAGAATATGATCGAGGAGTACAATGGGCAACAAAGACCCGAGGGTTCCCATAGGCCACGACTGTTTCTGATTCCTCTCGGAGTATCTGAAAATTCTTTATACGATGAAAACAATGTCCAGCAGAGTAATTCTGATTACCGCTACGTTGCAGCTCTGAATGGTAATGTTGATCCTACTCCGAGGAAAAATTCTGGTGAAACAAGTTATCGTGTTACCTGTTTGGACCGCATTCCGAGTTTCCATAACCGATCCCCTACTCAGCTACTTCAGGTGGAGACTAGAGGTGGAGTTCATGCTATGCATCCTAGTCAAATGTTTAATGGACTTCACTATAATATGTCTCCATACCAATCACCTCCTGTTTCTCCCATGCCACTCCAGCGTGCCGGTTCTAAGGGAGGATACTCACAATTGTACGGAAACAACTCTAGCTCCGAGAGCAACAGTTCCTATATTACAGCTCAACCCGACATCTCAAGCGTTGAGATGAATGAATCCAGATATCATCAAAGACAACCACTGCCTTCAGTGATTTATCCGCCCTACAAGCAGAATGATGCTAACCGGACAGAGCATCATATACTGCCTCACGGTGGCTTCAGCGAAAACTTTTTGTCTCCTATATCTGGGCGGGTTGATAGTGTTGTTTCTGCCCCCGATGAACCAGAAGAATCCGAGGTTCTGCCTTCTGGATCTACAAATTCAAATGATTTTCAGTTTGGATTATCACATTCGCATTCAGACTCAACTCTGGAGCTTTGTGGTGGACAGTTTGCTTACTGTTCCCAATTGAATTTGAAGGCACAAATGCAAGAGAGGCTGTTGCAGTTGCATAGCAATACTGATCTATCTGACTGTAGAACTCAAAGTAATATACTCGATTTCATGTCCACTGAAGGAGGAGAAACTACGTTCAAATGCTCGCCAAATCCGGGTGAAAATGATACCATTCATCTGGGTATTTTCTCTGAGGGGAATCATTATAATGAGACCTATCAAAATCAGGACACCACGCGTCAAGGAGGGGCAGGGAAATGCGGAACAATAAGAAGGGCAACCTCTACTGAAATGGAATCCAAGGCCTTGGCTCTTGGTGGCAACCTGACTTCACCCTTTGCTGCTGACTCTTGGAGGCAAATTAAGGAAGATCATGGACTTATGACGACCAACCATGCTATTCCCTTTGCAGAAGATGTAATAGATCGAGCCTCAAATCATGAGTCACCAAGGGTTCTGTCTCTATTTACCGAGCAACCTTCTGATTTGGTTCAGGAACTAGGAACTGATGTTACCCGGGCAAGGAATTCTGAAGTTTCACGTCTCTTACCAGACATCGGAGTATGTTCCAACGGGAGTTTTCCTGTTCACATTGCCTCCAAATCATCAAACACCATAGTTGTTGAAGATCAGGGATTCTTAGAATTTGGTCTGCCTCAAAAGAAAGTGGATTCTGATAACTCCACTGTGATAAGTCCTGAAAAATACATGCATTCATCAGAAAGACAAGATTATCCACTCTCAAGTTCCAACAACAATAACCTGCATGATCTACGGAATGCATTGGGAGATAGTTCTTCACCTGACGAGGATCTTAGTCTTGATCAAACTTTTGGAGAAGCAGCTTTTGGTCATGAGACTGTGAAAATCTCAAGCAAGGACATGAATCTGCCAGAGAATAAATCTGAGGTGGTTTAGAACTTGATTACAAATTCATGGCTGTGTACAAGAGGCTGTCTTATTCTTATCACTGTCAACTGTTCTACAGGAAGCTGAATCCGATCATGGAGACAAAGATCACGATCACAACGATAAGAACATCGCTGAAATAGAAGCCAACGTCTACGGCCTGCAGGTAACTTAATCACAATAATTTTGAAAATACTTCTCGTCTTAAACGAGATTCACATCGAAAACCCCTTTTGATAAAAAAAAACAGATAATAAAGAATGCCGATCTGGAAGACCTGACCGAATTGGGGTCTGGTACATATGGAACAGTCTACCATGGGAAATGGAGGGGAACAGATGTTGCCATAAAAAGAATAAGAAAGAGTTGCTTTGCAGGGAGATCATCAGAGCAGGACCGCTTGGTCAGTTCTCTCACCTCCCTTATACCTTTCATATTTCAATGAAGAAAAAAAAAGATCACAAATTTTGTATTTGATTTTACCAGACGAAGGACTTCTGGAGAGAAGCACAGATCTTATCGAATCTTCATCACCCCAATGTCGTTGCATTCTACGGGGCAGTTCCCGATGGAGCTGGAGGAACCCTAGCGACTGTTACCGAGTTCATGGTGAATGGATCACTCAGGCATGCTCTTCTCAAGAAAGACAAGTAATTCTTCTATCTTCAAAATTCCTCCAATGTTTTTTTTAATCTATTCCTTCCTTCTCTGAAACCTGTGATCTTTTAATGCAAATGCTATTGCAGATTGCTTGATTCTCGGAAGAAGATTATAATCGCAATGGATGCTGCTTTCGGTATGGAGTATCTGCACTCGAAAAACATTGTCCATTTCGACCTCAAATGCGATAACCTACTCGTCAATTTGCGGGATCCACAGAGGCCAATATGCAAGGTAAAACTTGTTGTTGTTGTTGTTGTTGTTGTTGTGACTTACCTCATTTCTGATTCTGCCCCCTTAGAAATCCCCCCAACTTCATCGTACCAAATCTCCTCTTCCTTGCATGATTCTAATAGGTCGGGGATCTCGGGTTATCGCGAATCAAACGCAACACTTTGATATCTGGTGGAGTTCGAGGAACACTTCCATGGATGGCTCCTGAACTACTGAATGGTAGCAGCAATCGGGTTTCTGAGAAAGTAACAAGCCATTGAAACACATCTTAATATAAATATATGTTTCAAAAAATTCAGTTTAAATCTTTGAAATGAATCGACAGACATTATTAACCCGATTCTCGCCTTCACAGGTTGACGTTTTCTCCTTTGGGATCTCAATGTGGGAGATTTTAACTGGGGACGAACCTTATGCAGATATGCACTGTGGCGCCATCATTGGTAAGGGAAAAAGAACATAAACTCGGATTTCACTTACCTCAAAGCCACAGCTCCTGTTTCCTCGATCTTAAGAAGCATGTTTCTTCATCTGTTTTTTCAAACTCAGGCGGGATAGTGAAGAATACACTTAGACCTCCTATACCGGAAAGTTGCCCTCCAGATTGGAGAAAGCTGATGGAACAGTGTTGGTCCGTGGATCCCGAATCCCGACCTTCCTTCACCGATATAACAAACAGATTGCGGTCGATGTCAATGGAGCTCCACACTAAAGGAAACTCCGGCAAAAGGAAATGAGCTTGTAAGGTTAGTTCATACCGCTGCCCTTACACTCTCGTTTTCTCAATTTTTTCGGCTGAGCACAAACGTTTTTTCTCGAGCCATGTCCTGTGTCTGTATGTATATACTATTGGGAGACATAATGAGTGAGAAACAAATTTTGTATTCTTGTTGTAAATATTACAAGAATCAATAAAATTCCAATGTTTTGGTAGCAAAGGCTTCTCTCTCTCTTTTTTTCATCCGTTTGCCAATGCCATATAAAGCATCGGATCCTCTGATTCTATACGTCTTTGTATAAGAGTTGGTATTTCGGTATTCTCTCTGGCGGGAGAGGACAGTTGACGATCAGTTTCCCTTTCATCGCTCCCCGGAATATCCCCTGTGGAATACAACGAGAGAAAACACACAAAATCTCATCAGAATACACTGGCCAACCACAAGACCGTGACGATCACAATACACTGGCCAACCACAAGATACACTGCACAAATTGATCGTCTTAAGGCTGAATCTCATTGAGTTTAACGACAACTAACTGGCTACAACTTAAAACATTGTGTCTCGATTCGATATGATTTCGTTCTTGTTCTTGAATAAAATTCCAAATCAAACAAGCTTTCGTCTCATTAGCTTCAATGGTTTGTTACATCGGCTTAGAGGCTTCGTTAATCAAACCCCTTACCTCGACAACGTCGATGAAGTCCTGCTTTCTGTGGAAAGCTCCAATCCATTTCGTGTGATCCGCCGTTCTGCAAAACTAAAAGCAAAAGTTATTTCGTATGAAATAGGCATTCACAACTACAAGGGTATGTAAACCTAATTCTGAATTTTCTTTTCTTGGAGAAGAAGTAACAATGAAAAAACTTAAAATTACCCAGAATCCATCTTCATATGATGCGCATTGAAGAAGAATACCGTCGACGGAATCAACGTGATGTCGAAGTACTTCACGTACACTTGCACCTCCTCCGAATCAACGTCCACCAAAGCCACCGTAGCGAACTTCGATACATCTCTCGCCGATCTCGCTAGCTGAAATCTCGAAATTAGGGTTTTAATCAAATCACGATTTCCTCGGAAAAATCAAAAGGAACAACTACAGAACACAATCCAGAGATGACGGGAGGAATCAAATCAGACATTACAGTTTCATCAAGCTGCAGACAGACAGCGTCGGAGGCTCGACCGAATCGTAGAACCAAAACTTTATCGATCGTGTCTCTGATGATCTGATCGATCTCCTTCTTCTTCGTCAGCGTCGTTAGCAAATAGCTCATCTCCCTCTCTCTCTCTCTCAGACGAATACGACTCTCTTGAAGCGAAATATTGGGCCTGAGCTAGGTCCAGTGTTATATGGCGTCAAGCGGATGGCTAGATTCATGACACGTGTCAAAATCTAAAGGCGCGCTTACGATCCCGTCTCTAGGGCGGTTGTAGCTGAATATTCCTCTATATTTTTTCAATTTTTTCAGTTTTTTAAAATTTTGCAACAGTGCCTCGTGATACTATATAATCGATTCATCTTCATCAGTTCGCTTCTAATCTCGCAAATTGCCAAGTCCTAAATCTCAGCAGATAGATCACGCGATCTTCTCCTAAAGAGAGATTTTTTTTTTCAACCAAAACCGAATCCCGGGAGAATAAATGTTACTAATTTCCAGTTTGTAATTCCTCGCCTTTTGTTCTAGTTTTTCGATCCTTGTTTACGCCGTCTTGCTTCTCTTTTTGGGATTGGTTGTTCTCGTTTTGATCGAAATCTAGTTCTGTGAGATCAATTGGTTAGTTTTTGGTCGAGTCTTGTTGAATTTGATTGATAACTTGATATTGTTTTGTGCGTTGATAAGATTATGGTCGAGTTCCCTTAGAATTGCGAATTATGAGAGGAAATTCAGTTTTCCTTTTTGGGTTAGGGTTAGGGTTAGGTGTAGGTTTAGGTCTGAATCGGGACGGGGGATATCTTGAATTTTGATCGGAATTGTTTATGGAGGATTACTTACTGTTTTTGGGAAAAGAATTTGAAAATGGGAAACTTTAGCGGCTTAGCGGAATTATTGCGATGATGATAGATCAACTTTCTCCATCCAGCGTTTATGCTTTTCTGATTAGCCAGACCCATGTGAAAGAAAAAGTTTTTTTTTTATGGTAATTGACTCGAGTTCTCTGTCTTGGTTGGTTTTTTAGATGCTTATGAATAAGTTTTGCTCCATGTTCCATGTTGATATAAAGTTGTTTCTTACTATCAAAAAGTGATCTATTATCAATTCTGGATGAGTATGGTTGATGCTCTAATTTTACTTTTATCGGCTTGTGTTCTTGAGAAATCATGTCGTGCTTTTGTTTGTCCCGTTTAAAAGATTTGGTATGCAGGAGATTGTTGAATGTTTTATAAGATAATCTGTTTAAACATGTTGATTCGTCCACAATATCTTTGTTCCTTTTCCTTGCTGTTCTTGTTTGAATTGTTGGTTGGTCGTGATTGCGTAGCTATACATCGATATTTTCTTGAATTTGACTGGCACCTTCTCTTTGGGATGTAAATGCAGGTTCTAGGACACTTTGGCTGCTTTGTGGATTAAGGAAAGTAGTTCATTAGTTCATGCAAAATTTGGTTTCCTTCAATTCAAGTTTCTCGAGGATTACTTGTTCGTTCGGTAATGTTTGCTTCATCGGTGGTTGGATTTGATCAAGCATTTTAACAAGTGGTCTTCATCGTAAAGTAAATTAAACTCTCAGTGAGAAAGTAGATTTCCAACCGGCTGCCATTGAAGTTGCTCTCAATTTGGTAAGATTTTCTGTTCAGCCATATCTAAAGTTGTCATTTGTGAATCTAGTTTTGATGTGGATGGACTCTTCCTACATGCTAAGGCCCCCATACCATGATTAAAGTTAAACACAGTGTCGGAAATCGTTATACAGTATCTCCTATCCTTTTGTATTTCATAATATGATCCCGTGGGTTTATATTCTTACTTTTTCTTCCTTACAATTTTACAAAACGATTCATTTTGCAATTTTCAATGTGCGAGTAGCTTACAAGGCGCATTACAAAATGACTGGCGTAAAGAGAAAAAGATGTGCAGAGTCAGATGCTCATGCTCTTCACAAAGAACTCGACGAGGTTTCATGTCCTATTTGCATGGATCACCCACATAATGCTGTTCTACTGCTATGCAGCTCACATGACAGAGGTTGCAGGCCTTACATTTGCGACACGAGTCGTCGACATTCAAATTGCCTGGACGGGGTTAAGAAATCACAGTCTGAATCTTCAGACGCTGCCACTGAAAGATCAGATTTCAGCTTCTCAGATTTTTTTGACCGTGTTTTTAGCCCTTTGAGGAGAATCCTGGATTCGGAAGCGGAAGGTAGATTGGAGATTGGGGATTCTGTCTCGTTGGAACGAGAGCGGTCGGAGGAAGAGAGCCAGAGGACAAATCTGAAGTGTCCATTCTGTCGTGGTTCGGTTTTAGGATGGAAGGTCGTAGAAGAGGTGAGAAATTATCTCGACTTGAAGAGCCGGAGTTGCTCCCGGGCGTCATGCTCTTTTACGGGGAATTACCAAGAATTGAGGCGACATGCCAGGAGGGTTCACCCGACAACACAGCCTTCGGACATCAACCCATCAAGGGAGAGAGAATGGAGACGACTCGAGCATCAAACAGAGTACGAGGATATAGTCAGTTCCGTTCGTTCAGACATGCCCGGTGCCGTTATTGTTGGAGACTACGTCATGGAAAATGGGGATGCGTTCTCGACCAATGGCAATACCGGTACAAGTTGGTCACGTTGGTGGACGAGCACTGTGTCTTTGTTTGAGATGATGGGGTCGGTTGACAGTGAAGGTTTTAGTGTCGGCCATGGCGGAAGCAGATCCCGAGCCAATAGACGATCAGTACGGAGGGATTATGCGGAAAGGCGAAACCTTCGGTGGGTCAATCAGATGGGTTTACAAGATGAACATGACAACAATGGCGATGATGAAGATTATGCAGGCCCTGTTCCAAGATGGTTTCGAAGTGATGGTCGGGCTCGATAATCAAATCGCGTGTTTTCCGGTAAAGTTTCAACCTTTTTTGCGTAGAATCGATCGGTTTTTTCCTCGGTATCATCACTTGCCAACCGCAGTTTTTTCTTCCTGGTCACATCTGTGTTACATTACGGACAAAGGGTGGTGTGCTGGTGGCTCTTTCTCTTGAAGAAGCTGTTCGAAACTTACGTCTCTGGTCGGAGCCGAAAGAGTTGGATGCAAGAAATTGGGTTTCTACTAACTATGGAGTGAACGGTCCGGTTTGGTTTAATTAGTTACGGTTAATTTAGGTTCATTTATTACAGATTTTGAAATCATGAACAGTTAAATTTATTCAGTTCCATTCAGTTTCGATTTAAAATTATGTTATAACTAGGTATTAACCCGCGCGATTCCCGCTGAATAAAAATATATACAATTTTTAAATAATTTTATTAATTTTTAAAATTACATATAATATTTTTATTTTTAAATTTATATTATTAAATTAAATTGATTTTTTTAAAGTTTCAAGATAATAGGATGATATATCAAACGTGGATTGATCGGTTATTAAGTGGAGATTTTAAAAAGTCATCCATACAGATTCGATACCATCTTCGTTACCAATTTTTTTTTTTAAAAAGATTGATATATATTTTTTTTTAATAAAGATTGTGAATATCTTCTGTATTTATATTTTTATGGGTTATGGTATACAATTCTATTATAATAGGAAACGTATTAATCCGTATGCATCACGTGAATTAAAGTTACATATAGATTTTAAATAATTTAATTTTTAGTTTTAAAGTTAAATATATTCTGTTTTTTTAAAGTATGAATAACTTCTATATTTATATTTTTGTGGGTTATTCTCATTCAGTTTTTTTTTTTTATTTAGTTATTTTTTTAATTTTATTTTTTATTGTTCTTATTATCCAATTTATTTATGATTTTCATGATATGATAAATTGTCTTTATTAGATCTTGCAATCTAAGATAGATGTATCAGGAAAGAAAATATGGCTTTTAAAACCAAGAGTTAGTAAGAGAGTCATTTAAAGACTCTTGGTCCTGGTGCTCAGTCAGCACTCAGAGCTCTTGCCAGTTCGGGAATGAAGATTGGTCGTATAGGTACTTGATTTAAAGATCCTTTCATCTTTTTTCAATGATTTCGTGTAGATTCTTGACCAAATATACATCTAGCATGCGATGTTGTTTGTTCAACATGCTTTGGACAAAGATAATTCATTGATGCAGAAACCGTATACTTGTCTCGCTTGATTAGTCGACGTGCTTGATAATCTTGGGCTTTTTAGCTGATGTAAAACGTCTTGAATTATGTTGACTCTGGACGGACAGTACCTGCAGAAAGGGCGGTAGGTGGGGAAGGAGGCTGCAATCGTCTCGGTGTCTTCCTGCGCATGACCCTACCCTCTCGATTACTTTCGGGTACTCTGGATTCAAATTCTACATTTGCTTGACCATCTCTTCATATATGTCGTTCTCAATCTCTCATTGTTATCAAACAACTGCTTCAGTGGTTGGTTTGACAATATCTTCTGCATCATCACGCTGTAGGACGACGGTGCTCTGGCGGGTATAGTGTAAACGATGACGTTGACGCTCCAAACATCGACTTTATCGGTGTATGAATTGGTAGTAAAATCTCTAAAACATCGACCGAATACTTTTGGATTGCTGACATAAACGTTAGAGCACGTAAGGACCATTTATAGTTTTGAAAATAGTTACTGTTCAATGAATTCAACACTCTCCTTTAATTAAATTGAATATGCATTAATAAAGTTGCGAAGACCACGTATGTCTAAAAAAATTTACACAGTTACAAATCTGTTAGTGACCATCTACGTTAATTTCTCATCAACATAACGTAACGCGTGTCACTCCCATATTAATCAATTGTACTTTTATATATATAGATAGATTTATAAACAAATTATTGTTTTAAATTATATATACATTATTTTAATATATAAAATAACAAAATTTAACTCATGTTATAATTTATTTTAACATAAAAAAACAAATAAAAAGACTAGAAATAAATTTTCTCTTTTTAAATGTCAAAATCACACAAACATTAGATAATAATAAAACAATGTTTAAATAAATAAAAATAATAAAACAATGATTAAATTATAAATATGTATATAGACGAGATTCATGATTTTTCATCAATAATTCATTCTTATGATCGGCAACAAGGAGACAAGAGATCAATTCTCCATATTTTGTAAAACCTTTTTCACGGTATTATTGTTGCAGGAGCACGTTCGATACATGAAATATGGATAATGTTTTCTCCATCATATTTGAATCAGTAACAGTTTCACCGCATAATTTCTTTTGTGAACTGATTCGAAACATAGTTGAATTATATTCACTGACATATTTAAAATCTTGAAAGGGAAGATGCATCCAATCGTAACGTACTTTTGGAAGAATCACAATTTTTTGATAATCATATCTTTTTTTTTATTGATTTCCAAATATCTACAGGATTTTTATGAGTAAGATACTCAATTTTCAATCCATCATGAAGATGGTGGCGAAGAAATATCATTGCTTTCGTTTTATCTTGGTTGGATGATTTATTTGATGCAACAATTGTCTCTTTGAGACCTTTAGATTCCAAATTGATCTCTACATCCAACACTCATTAGAAGTAATTCTTGTCGTTAATATCAAGGATTTCAAAGTCGAGGTTGGTCAAATTCGACATGATAAAACTTGAAAAGTGTTTTGCTGATAATGTGTTGTAAAAATAATAAAATTAATAATGCAAAAAAGATATATAAAAAGAGAGAATCTTTATTTGTTGCTATTTCTTTATCTTGTTTTTGATGTGTTTAAACAATGGTTTGTATATACTTATTTATAGGTTTACAAAATATGAAACAACAACTTATGAATTAAATAACAAAAAAAATTACACAAAAATAATAAAAATAGACATTCACTACAATTATGTTATTTCTTAACAATTCCATCTTTATTGTTATTTAAAAGAACTCCAACAATAGAATGAAACCTGCCAAATATACAATGTGAGAATTCTTTGTATTGTTTGCTGAAGATCAATCTTGCTGCATAAACAAAAACAGGAAGAGGATTTTTAATATATATATATATAATGCCTTGTAAAAATAATTTATCTAACATTTGGAGAAAAATTATGATGCACAAAATGAAAAATAGAATTTTATCCAAAAAAAATACACAATTTTTTTTTAACAAACATAATTTTTTTAAAAATTACATATAAAAACACGAGCTTTCAAAGAAATTCATATTTCATGTAAAATGTTTTGTGAAGTTTACGATGTTTTTTGTAGTAGTATTAGCAAATTTACGAACTTTGATATACATATATACATATATATATATATATTTACGTATTTTGTCCTTTTTTTTAAAATAAAATACAATAAAAAATAAAAACCAAAATTATTATTTTTATTCCGAATTATTCACGCCATTGTTTGCCTCACACGTTCCCGTCGTCGCGGCTTCTACTCCGCACCATCGTCCTTCTTCTACTTCCCTGAGAAATCAATAGAAAAAAAAATTGAAGAACAAGGAGAGAGATCAACAATGTCGGATCACAATCCTCAATCTTCGAGCTTCAATGCCCTAAGCATCGACCTCGCTGAATCCATCTTCTCTCTCCTCCCAATCCCTTCCCTCGTCCGGTCCTCCGCTGTATGCAAGCTCTGGCGCTCCATCATCACCTCCCTTCGTCTTCCTTCTCCATCTCCATCTCCATCTCCCTGGCTCTTCCTCTTCGGCATCCACAACACCTCCTCCTTCCACAACCAGTCCTTCGCCTTCGACCCTCTCTCCGACACCTGGCTCCGCCTTCCCTCCGCCACCGCCTCTTCCTTCCCTTCTCTCTACCTTGTCGGCTCCGACGGGTTTCTTTTCTCCACCGCTCCGAGATTCTCCTTCTCCCCAATCCTCAAACCTCGGTGGCGGTTCACTTCTCCGGTGCGGTTTCATCGGATTAGCCCTCTTTTGGGGGTTTTCTCCGGCGAGAACGGCTCGATGAAGTTCATCCTCGTCGGAGGCGTCGGATTCATCGGTGGATTGGTTGAGGACATCGAGGATCGTGAAGTCGTCGAGGTCTACGATCCTGTTCTCGATTCGTGGGAGATGTGTCCGCCACTTCCCGCCGATTTCAGATCAGGTTACGCTTATCAAACTCTATCCGCCGCTCTGTTCAAGAGAAGATTCTACGTTTTCGGAATCTATTCATGCTTTGTCACCTCCTTCTGCTTGGATTCATACACTTGGAGCGATGTTCAAACACTCAGACCACCTGGGCTTCTCTTTGCTTCCCTGAATTCCTGCAGCAACATGCTTGTTCTTGGTGGAATGTGTCTCTCCACTCGTGGGTATTCGTTTAATCTGTGGAAAATCGACGAGAACTCGATGGAATTCAGCGAAATCGCCATCATGCCTGAAGGGGTGTTGTCTGGATTGGTGGATAACGAGGATGAGGACAGTACCAGGTTTGCGAGCTTGAAGTGCGTTGGATTAGGGAATCTGATTTACGTTTTCAACGAGGATAATCACAAGAACTACCCAGCTTGTGTTTGCGAGATCAATGGAGAGAAAGGGAGTTGCAGATGGAGGAAAATGCCTCAGCTGCCATCACCTGTTAACAAGTTCCATAAAGTTGTGAGCTTTTGCTCGAACGTTTCGGCCAGCGATGTCTTCCAGTTCCAGCCCGAGGGAACAGGGACACAGATCGGTTCGAGGCAAGCTTGAGCTCGGTTCGGCTTCCCTTTCATGTCACTGGTATGATTCAAACCCTAATGACTTTTGAACTCTGTTTATTGAATTAGCACCGACTATGAATCAGTATCATTGATTGGTTCAAGATAGTTAGTTCCTTTCCGCCATTGATGATGGAGATGTGATGGTTTTGAATATGCTCGTCTTGTTTCAGTGGATCTACTGAGTAAATGCAGACACTTTGTATAGTCATTCCCATGTTGCAATTCAAGTTTCTGGTACCCAAACTTGGCTACTTCAACTGTTAAAACGTTGTGCAAACCGTGTTTCCCGCTATGAGTTCGAATCAAATTTGGGGAGGAAACTTATATTATAAATCACATGGTTGGTCCCGATCCCAAGATTTTGGTTCATAATATTCGGTTACCCAAAAAAAATTCAAGTTTCTGGTCTTTTTCCATGCATTTCTAATGAATGCTCTTATTTCTGTATTACCAGACAGGAACAATAGTATTCAGACATGAACAGAGAAGAGAAAGAAGAATTTCGAGTCGGTGTGTACGGTACCACGTGGTAGGAGGGGTCATTTCGGGTTTCGGTTTGGTTATTTCGGTTATAGAAAAACTATGACTATTCGGTTTTTATATCAACTTTGGTCTGGATTCGTTTTTATTGATATAAAACTCGTTTTTTTCAAAGAAAATTTTGCTTTTTCGGATATTTTTTCAAAGAAAGTTAGTAACTTTGTGAATCCCTTATTTGCAAGTTTGTAACTTTTGGAAGTCTATTTGTAGATTCAGTTTGGTTTTACGCTCGAATAAGATGCGATTCCTCATATACATACGCTTTATGTGTATGTATCCTTTTGTACATTGTGTATATGCACATTTTGTTCATATGTGTCCCATAAAAGTTCCAAACTTTTAGCTCTAGACCTAATACTTCTGAATATATATATATATATAGAGAGAGAGAAGGGAAACTGAATCTGCCATGAACGAGGAAACTGATTCAATGTGCTTCTGTTTCATAATCGACACTTTATGTCTGAAAATTTGTACGGATTTATTCGTATCCTTTGCAGTCAAATACGTCGTAATGATGTAAATATTAGCTAAAAAATGCATTATATATTACAAATTTAAAAATACAAATTAACAGACAGAGCCGGGAAAAAAATTGTGCCTTTGAGATTAATGGGGCCATTTCTACCGATTCAAGGCCCAATTCAAATTCGGGTCGGTTTTGACCCGGATCCGGTTATTGCCGTTAACTGCAAATGAAGCACACACAAAACATGAGGAAGACAAGAAGCCGTTTCGGAGGTGAGTTCGAAAATGGCGAACCTTGCGATTGTTCCTTCTTCTTCGAGCTCTTCCACAATCCTATCTTCTTTCGCACGACAACCTAAGATTCATCAAGTTTCGGATTTCTCCGGTCGGGTGAATTCTATTGTCGAAAACCCTCGTCATGTCCTTTTGTGCTCGTCGAGCGGCAAGCTCGAGTTTCGCGGGTTACGATTGAATCGGAAGGGTCGGAGAAGCGGTTTCAGGTGCAGTTGCAGCAGCAACAGACCTGGAAATGGAGGTTCATGTGAAATTTCTTTACTTACTTTTGACGATTTCGGTTTCTGGGATGAAAATTTCAGCGGAGGAACGGATTGAATTTTGGATCTGAATTAGTGGGTTTTCAGTTTCGATGTGTATATTCCGTTCATGTGTTGTTTGAATTCTGTGTTCAACCTTTTTAATGTAATATTGTTCAGAAAGAATCTGTTGCAGAAAGAAGAAAGAAAGTGTGTATGATCTTTGTATTGTTAAGGCCCTTATTGATAATGTGCACTGGATTTTGGAACAAGAATACACTTTAGTTTCCAGAGATTTTAAGTTCCGCAAATGCAACTTCAGTGGAATTCAATATATAGCTGAATCATCAACATCTAGGGTGATTAGCAGATTTGTATCATTATTTACCAGTTTAGATCTTAATAATCTGGAGTCAAGAAAGTCGATTCTCGTGTTTATGTTCTGGTGTCGATTCTTATGGATGTCTGAAAAGGTTCCATTAGGTCCCAAGGGATGGACTTTGAATGAGGAAAAGATCCTATGTTATGGTTAAAAAGCTCATGATCCACTTACGTTACTATCTGTTTAATTCAAGAAAGGAATGAAATGGGTTTTCGTATATTTGGTCCAGGGGAATTGGGTCAGTCGAAATTCGAGTTTTTTGTACAATCAGTTGAAATATGGTTATAATGTGCATTGGATGTTTGCTGTTTGCTATTTGCAGCTGACAATGAAAGCAGGTCTGTCTTGGATGCATTCTTCTTGGGAAAGGCACTCGCTGAAGTGATCAACGAGCGGGTTGAGTCCACGGTCGGGGAAATTCTGAGCACGATCGGA